CAACCGTAACTAACACAAGTCGCCGGCCTGTTGTGTACAGCACCACACTAACACTGCGGCATGATCACTACTAGCAGATCTTTAGTCAGGGCTCGATGCTCTAGTAATTGAGTAATCAGTAGAATTATCGATTTTTCCATGTGCTGTCGGTGAAGACGAGATAGGACGACATTTCACACGTCACTTTCTTCCTATCTTTAAGTGTTTTCCTCTTTAATTCGCCATTGAGAATAAGGACAGGAGCCCTATTTATGATATCACAGATTGACGTCCGCTAGTACCTGGCTTACCTGTTCCGCGAGATTGTCGGTATGCATGATCGTGTACCGAAGTTCAGGCAAGCTCCTCTGTTTCTTTGGGACACCATTGCCGAGTGGTGTAGTTACTGGAGTTACTGGAGTAAATCAGGCACGGTCGATCCGGATCAAGGGGTTTCCACCTTGCACCTAGCTTTCTCTATTTATGGTCTTGTTTTCATATCTGGTACATATGGTTTTGTTCTAGCTCTACTAGTAAACTAGGGTGACAATAGTTGCTCGATATTTTCACTATCGATGACTAGACTCTTCTCAGCAAACCACAATAACTGTTATGTCTCACCCTTTCAAGGCGCATGAAATGGCACGTATGAATAAATAAATCAATCAATTAAATCAAATAAATAAACACAGGCATTATGAATATATTATATGGAAGACTGCTCTATCGTCGGTTCAGTGAAAATGTTCAGTGGAAAAAGAAATGGATAGAAGTACTATGATCTATTCAACAAATAAACGGAGAACATTAATATTTTCAGAGTTTTCACCGATATGTATGTTTATTTGTTTCAGCCTTTCCAAGTTTCTAAACTTTATAGGGCTAACGTTTCGGCGAGTTCGCCTTCGTCAGAGCCTAAAAAGTCGAAAAAACCTTTGAGACTGACTCTACAATAAGGCGAGATAAACCCAAGACAGTTCGTTAGACTAGAGACCCCTCGAACCCGGTATACAAGAGGCTTACCTTGATCTAAATCGCCAAAGCGATAGTTCGACCACCCAGTGTTTACAGTATGCGTACAATGAGCGAGCCTTCCTCCTTTCTGACCTCACCGTTATCTCAAAATTTGCAGAGGTCTAGAAAGAGCGCGAGGTCACGAGTTACGGCCATACGCTCTTCCTTCCTGTTGATTTGTGGGTCTCTAGCTGCAATCCAACACGCCTCAAGTGCTTTCCGCGCAGTAGTCTCCGTTTCTAGTGCCAAGACGGTTACTGAAATTGTGAGTTCGTTACCGTCGTGGCACAGAACTCGATGCATTCCCAGTGGTGTTTGGGTGCGACACTTTCTTAGCCCCTCCAGGTGTTCTTCGATTCGAGTACGAAGGGGGCGTCCTGTTTCACCAATATATTCAGCACCACAGGCCTGGCAACGAATTTCGT